AGTGAAGAGAGAAGGGGTTTAAAGTTTAAACCCCTTCTCACTAGAGTTGGGCAACAGAAGGAGGAAAGAGAGAGTAGAGAGAAAGAAGGAAGAAAAGGGATACAAAGAGAAGGAAAGGGAAAGAAAGAAGGGAAGGAGGAAAAAAGAAGGCAGGAAAGAGAAGGGAAGAAGGGAATAAAGGAAAGGCGGAAGGAAGGAGAAGGGAAAGAAAGGATGAAAAGAGGAAGGAAGAGGAGGGAAAGGAAAGGAGGGAAAGATGGCAAAGGGAGGGAGGGTGTCCCCCCTCCATCAAGCCACCCCCGCGGATCCCTTACTGCTTCGGCGGGGGCCAGGAAAGCTGGCGGCGGGGCTCTCCAGCAGCGCACTTTTGGCGCAGTGAGCTGGGGTTTGGGCTAGCAGCCGCCACCATTTGTGCAGGCTCCTGGGCTGCCGGATCAGCGCTCCAGTGCGCTCCGGCCCCAAAAGACCCCTGGTCTTAACTAAAAATTTTACCTGTACCAACTGTCTGGCTGTATTTCGTCAACTATATGTAACATTTTAAGGTATTTGCTGATCTCTTATTGTAATTGAATTGAATTGACTGACTTCTGTTGCGCATCAGCTTGTGCTGGAGCATGTTAGAAACCCACACTGGGGCTTGCCTGACCTCTCTCAACCTGTCACCTTGCCCCCACCTCACAGGGACGGCTTCCCCACTGTCCTGTTTGGAAAAAAACCCCACTCACGCTGGCCTCTCTAGGTTCTGTCCCCCTTGGCTTCCTCCCCGGCCCAGCGATGTGGTTCAGACCACAAGGATCTGCCTCCAGTGCCACAGCTGTACAAAAACAGCCTCCATTTTGGGAAGATGAGCCAGAGTCCGTGCGGAGGACTTACAAGAGGGCTGGGGTGCGTGGGTGAAAGAGTTGGGTATGTTTAGCCTGGGAAAGAGAAGGCTTAGATGGGACATGATTGCAGTCCAGCAAGTGGACAGGAGAGATTTTGCCACCACCAAATAAATGCTGAAGTAAATCTTGAGGAAAAGATGGCTTACATCATCACAAGAGCCCTTTATTTAAAATCTATTTCGATTGTCTTATTTAGAATCATAGAGTCAGAGTTGGAAGGAACAGTGGAACAGACTGCCTCGGGGGGCGGGGGATGCTCCTTCGCTGGATGTTTTCAAGCGGAGGCTGGACGACCATCTTTCGGGTATGTTGTAGGGCTATCTTTTGGCTATGCTCCTGCAGAGTGCAGGGAGGTGGACTAGATGACCTGTAAGGTCCCTTCCAACTTTAGCATTCTATGATAACCAAGAAAAACAGGAAGGTTGACAAAAGGCCTAATAACAGAATAAATATTAATGTGTTACATGTCAAATTAACGAAGCTTTAATGCATAACAAATAGTAAACAATTGCATTAAACCAGACGTGTTTCAGCCACAAGGGCTTCCTCAGCGGCACAAATTATTAAGATACAACACCATAAAGGCAAGAGTAGTCCAGTAGCACCTGAAAGACTAACAAAATTCATGGCAGGGTACGAGCTGTGAGTCGCACAGCGACTCCCAAAAGCTACCCTGCCACAAATTTTGTTAGTCTTTAGGGTGCTCCTGGACTCTTGCTCTTTTCTCCTGCTGCAGACAGACTAAAAGTTCAGACCCCATCAATGTGTATTTATATTTAGGATTTTTGGCTCCAATGTGCATCACCTTGCACTTGGCCACATTGAACCCCATTTGCCATGTTGACGCCCACTCGCTCATCCTTGACACCCTTTGGAGTGCCTCACAATCCTCACTGGTTTTCACCACCCTGAACAACTTCGTATCATCCACAAATTTAGCCACTTCACTGCTTACTCCCAACTCCAAATCATTAATGAACAAGTTAAAAAGCAGTGGACCAAGTACTGATCCCTGCGGTACCCCACTGCTTACGTCCCTCCACTGTAAATAATTAATTCTTTTTCTACAGACAAATGCAATTGGATATAGATGGTTAACTCCAGAAGGTGTAACCTTCAAGATCAAGGATAAAAAAGAAAAGATTGACTCTGTCCAGAAAGCAATGGGATTTTTAAGAGTCCAGATGGGAGGGCCAGGGAAGGAAGAAGAAAAAGGGGAGGTCAGTAAGTCCAATGGCGAGCTGGACTCGGAATCCTCCGGGGAGGACTCTTTATCAGAGAAAGGGGCAGCAGCCTCTAAAAGTCCTTATAAGCTTCGGAAGAGACTAGGCAAGGAGAAGTATTAAGGAAAGATTACATATTTTTGTCAGGAGATCCACAAGTTCACATTTGAGTTCTTTCAGAACTCTCAGATGTATGCCATCTGGGCCTGGTGATTTATTAGTTTTTAAGTTGTCTATCAGTTTTAGGACCTCCTCTCTCGTCACCTCAATCTGACTCAGGTCTTTCAACGCCCCTCCCGAAATCAGCGGTTCTGGAGTGGGCAAGCACTTCTCATCTTCCACAGTGAAGACAGAGGCAAAAAATGCATTTAGCTTCTCAGCCTTACCCCAACCATCCTTCAGTACTCCTTTTACCCCTGGGCCCCTAATCCAAGGATGAGATGGTCAGACAGTGTCATCGATGCAACGAACATGAAATTGAACAAACTTCAGAGGACGGCGGAAGACAGGAGGGCCTGGCGTGATCTGGTACATGGGGTCGCGGAGAGTCAGACTCGACTGTGCGACTGAACAGCAAAAATGTCTTAAAGCTTTGTTCATTTAACATATGTAGCCCCTTATTATTTATTCTGCTATTAGGTCAACCTTCTTGGTTTCCAGGTTCATAAATAAGCCAGACGGGGCATATGGGTTTACAAACAGCATTTCCATATCTCTTCTCAACAATCCCTTTCATTTGCCTTCACAGCCAGTTGATAGGAGAGAGTAAACGGGATTTCTTGGGCTCCGTGTGGCACCTGTGGATGTAATCATCTGACTGCCCTCCTCCCACCGTTGTACCCTTCCGAGACCCCCCCCTTTTAAAAATAATGTGGGTGTGGCAAAATGGAAGCTTTCTGCATCATGACAAATCTCTACATTTTGTTAAAACAGCGGAGCTCTTCGTATAAATTATTTTTATTTTACACACGCCAGTCGCAGATTAAATTAAAATCACCCACTGCTAGAACCAAGACCTGCTCTTGCAGAAAGAGCTAAACTACTGAAGCAGAAGACTGGATATACCCGTCTTGGCCGTCTCCAACTTCCTTCTCGGCAAGGGCAGCAGAAGCAGTTTCCTGTGTTGCTTTGCTAGAGAATTCAAGTAGCGAATTTCGGTTTGCTAACCGATCTATAGGTTGTAAACCAGCTCACGGTGGTGGGCTTAGACTTGCCCCAAGCGCAATGCTCCCTCTAAGCTGTGGACTCTTGTGAGCGAAAATTCTACTTTGTGGGCCACTGGCAAAGCTGTGAGCCAGCGATTTGGCTACTGCATAAATTAAGTTTGCTCTGGAGCCCTCCTTCCTGAGCGGAGAGAAAACTCTGTGAGACGGGAGGCTAAAAAGCTGTGAGCTCGCTCACACTAACTCAGCTTAGAGGGAACATTCAAGGGTGACGGCAGTTTCGATTCAGTACCCAGCTGCTTAAAAAACCTCGATTTTAAAAACTTCTTAAAAACCTCAGGTTCTAAAAACTTCTTAAAACCCCCTTTTTTAAAAACCTCCATTCTTAGTATGCCCTCACTAATTTTCCCCACAACCCTGTCACTTTGCACTGTTGCCTTCCAGCACGCACCTAACACCTCCGGCCTTTTCCCTGTCAGCTTGTCACATCACATTGGTTAGTTTCTGGTGCCACAAAACTCTTGGCAGTGCTTGGATTAGTGCCTCACTGTGCACGGCCAGCCCCACCCCGTGAACATTCCAAGCAACTGGGAATTATTTGAACTACAACATGGGAGTAGGCAAGGAAGGGTGAAGAGAACTCGCGCTAGCCCTTGGTTGGAAAAAGACACAAAACAAATCAAACGTTTTAGCAACGCGTGGATGACCGACGTAAAATTCCGCCGCGTTCTTTTGCCAGGCTCGGACTGATAGCAGAAGATGCATTTGTCCTGGCCAAGGTACAGTCCACGGGGCTCTCCCCAAAGAGAAACCGGGTCTCTGCACACATGAGTTTGTATACGCTTAAGTGCTTCAAGTCGCACACTTTCTAGAAACGCAGCCAGGGTTCCCCAGGGGAACCCCAGCGAGACAGAGAAACTGCTAAGCAAAAGGCAAGGTGTGTCATTCAATTAGCAGCTTAATCTGCAAAACAAATGAGGTAGCGACAATTTCATTAGGAGAGTGTCATCCCAGCAGAATTCCACTCCACTCATCCTTCTCCCCAGCATCGTGCCTCTAGCAGGCCTTTGAAAGCACAGCGTTGGTTTTACGCTAAGGATTCCCACCGATACTTCATCAACTTCCTACCTAGCACAGCTCTTGCTGGGCTTATCCGGGTCCAGGTTGGGCTAAAATCACTGCCTGTTGCAGCGCAACAGGAAGTCACGTGATCTCTCAGGGGGGGCATTCCGGCACTGTGCACAGTTGCAAAGGAAGGAAGACTTCCCCGGCCCCCGGCGAAACTCATGCATTTCAGTCACATTGGTTGGAAACGTCAAGAGTTTGACAGTGATTTGCCAAGGAGCGATAAGGAAGGCCTCTACCAACGCCTTCTTAAGGTGGCAGAGGGAACACAATTCACACCGGCAATGCTGGCACACGTCTGAATGCCCTGTGGATCCGTGCAGATCCGTGGTGAAAGGCCATTGTGCAACCAGTGCAACAGTCAGGTTCAGAGGAGATCGGGATGTTCCAAAAACAGGCTCGTGAGCTACTTTTAAGCAGGACAATCAGCAACGGAGACAAACATGCAAGGGCAGTGACGACCCTTGAGAAGGGATCCACTACCATGCAATGTTCCCTCTAAGCTGTGGAGTCTTGTGAGCAAAAATTCTACCTTGTGAGCTCCTGGCATTAAAGTTGTGAGCGAGAGATTTGGCTGCTGCATAAGTTAGTTTGCTCTGGAGCCCTCCTTCCTGAGCGAAGACAAAAATGTTTTACCTGGAGGCTAAAAAACTGTGAGCTGGCCCACACTAACAGCTTAGAGGGAACACTGGCTGCAATGCTCCCTCTAGGCTATGGAGTCTTGGGAGCAAAAATTCTACTCTGTGAGCTTCTGGCATTAAAGTTGTGAGCGAGCGATCTGGCTGCTGCATCAATTAGTCTGCTCTGGAGCCAGCCTCCCTGAGCCAAAACAAGAATGTGTGAGCCGGAGGCTAAAAAACTGTGAGCTAGCTCACACTCACTCAGCTTAGAGGGAACACTGGTGCCATGTCCCCTGCGGCAGCTTCCGGGCCCAGCTTCTCTTGCTGGAAGTGAAGGGTTTCACAGAAGAGACTCTTGGTTTCATCCCAAAATACAAGATATGCTGGAACCAGCGTCTGTGGGGCAAGGACAGCTGGTTGCCTCCTGCCTCGAAGGCCCGTGCAGACGTCCCCTGCCTATACCCCGAATGCCGGTAAACATGCTTCTTGTCCGACATTTGGAAACTGTCTTGTGAGCAATGCTCCCTCTAAGCTGCGGAGTCTTGTGAGCAAAAATTCTACTTTGTGAGCTACTGGCATTAACGTTGTGAGTGAGGATTTGGCTCCTGCATAAATCAGTTTGCTTTGGAGCCCTCCTTCCTGAGCGAGGACAAAAATGTGTGAGCCGGAGGCTAAAAAACTGTGAGCTAGCTCACGCTAACTCAGCTTAGAGGGAACACAGCTTGAGAGCCTATTTTTTTTTTAAAAAAAAGCTCCCTCCACTGATGCAAAGAGAAGGCCACAACGCGAGAGGAGTTTCCATCCCTTGAGAAGTGCCCAAACTAGGTAACTTTAACAGCAGCCGGGCACAGAGAAGGCCTCAGGGAGGGAGGGGGAAGGGTACAGGGACCTGCTGAGAAATACAAAGCAGGAAACCAAGGGGCCTACAGAGCCGGCTGGACTCTCTCGCTATCTTCAAGTCGTTGTGAGACTGGAGTGGAGGGGAAGGACTTTGCTCTAATTCGTAGGGCCCTGAGAGAAAAGACTGATTGATTGATGAGGCGGCATCCTCCCTTGAGGAGGATGATTCACTGATTAGCGAGCATGATTCCCCCCCCCCAATCTACTGCCTGGCCCATCTAGATAACAGAGCCTTCCCACTCCCACAGACTGCGTCTCAGGCACTGGACTAGACCTTGGGAGCCAAGCGGCACAATTTTAGTGGGAACAAACTCCTTTGAGCTGACCCGCCCCTGAGGATGGCGTCGGCATCACAAAAGCTTTGGCAGATTCTCTCTTTGGTCCAGGGGCTCCGGAAGGCACACCGCCTCTCCCCCCCTTCCCCCCCCCCCCCCCCCCCGTCGAAGGCAGGGGACGCCTCGTGTCCTAGGAAGGCGTGGCTCCGTTGGCATCGTTTTCTTCCTGGGGGGCTTTGAGTTTGGACAACACCGCGTGGATCCGAAAGAGCGTCCGTGACTCCATTGAGTAATTCTTGTAGTTGCTCCTGTGGGGAGAAGCACTCGGTAGCAGTCTCACCCCACAAACTGTCCAGTGAATCATAGAATGTGAGAGTTGGAAGGGACCTTGCGGGTCATCTAGTCTAACCCCCTGAACTCTGCAGGAGCAGAGCCGAAAGACAGCCCTACAACATGCCCAAGAGATGGTCGTCCAGCCTCCGCTTGAAAATGTCCAACGGAGGAGCATCCACCACCTCCCGGGGCCGCCAGCACGTCCCGGAAGTGACATGCTACGTCGATCACGTCGGAGGGAAAACCATAGAGTTTTCCCTCTGATGATCGGGGCCACGCCCCCAACGTGATCAGCGTGGTTGCGTCACCTCCGGTGACACAGCCACACTGCGCTTCGGGAGGCGGAGTTCCCCCCGAGGCCCGATTCCGCAGCGGCGGAGGAAATCGGGGCTCCAAAGCGGGGGTTTACCCGCCACCCGCCCCCACTTGGCAGCCCTACCTTGTGAGCTCCTGGCATTAAAGTGGTGAGTGAGCGATTTGGCTGCTGCGTCAATCAGTTTGCTCTGGAGCCCTCCTTCCTGAGCTACGGCAAAAAGGTGTGAGCCGGAGGCTAAAAAAAACTGTGAGCCGGCTCACACTAACGCAGCTTAAAGGGAACACTGGCTGCCACGCTGTGGAGTCTTGTGAGCAAACCTTCTACTTTGTGAGCTATTGGCATTAAAGTGGTGAGCGAGCGATTTGGCTGCTGCATAAATCAGTTTGCTCTGGAGCCCTCCTTCCTGAGCAAAGGCAAAAATGTGTGAGCCGGAGGCTAAAAAAACTGTGAGCCGGCTCACACCAACTCAGCTTGGAGGGGACACTGGTGGTGAGGGGGCAGAATTATCCTCAGCCCCCACCAGCCTGGCTTCGCCCCCACCTTCCTGGACTG